GATTTGCTCTGCAATCGATAGATGGGTTATGAATCTGTAACCACTCGTATCCAAGGAAGATTGGGAGTCTTCCCTAGATTGGTAACTGCGAAAGGAAGTCGCTCTACATGGTTCTGAATTTCCACCCTTAATTCAACGAAGTCTGTGATAGCACCGCCGGCATTATGCGTGCCATCTGCATTGTAGACAGGGACCGGTGATGGCAGTTTCTTTGTAGCGATGTTGTTATCGCGGACAAACTGCGCATCAATTGAAGATCCAGTACATCCTGTGTCTAATAGCGCTTTGACTGATAAGTGCTGCTGCGTGTCCAGGGTGGTTATGATCATTGGGACGTCCATTTGTGTCCCCTTCCTTCCTCGGATAAACCGGGGCTGCTTTCTCAATTCATTTAAGAAGTTTATGGCTTCTTCTTCTTTCATCTGCCTGATTTGGTTCATACAGGCTTCGGAGGCATCGACACTCTTCTTTGAGTGTACCCATTCGGTCAGCAATCTAAGCGCCGAGGCTTCTTTGCTGATTATCCATTGGCGGATCCAAGCCGCTGTCCAGGGTGTGTGGCGCTGCCACTGCGTAGATTCGGTCTGATGTTCTGGTGTGGGTAATAATTTTTTATTCGGGGGAATTAAGCAAGAGGGTTGTGCCTCTCCGCGCCGCTCTGCGGACGCCCCTTTTTCTGGTATATACGTTGCTACTCCAAACCAAGAACATAGATAATTCGTAAAATTACGCTCGGTCAACTCGGCTACGCGCCCGGCTGACCGCTTGCAAAACCCTTCATGGCCGCACGAATTTCTTCGTGGATTGCCTTCTTCCAGTCGAACGGTTCTGCCGTCGCGGCAGGGGCTTCGTTCAGTGATGCGAGGGGTGTGAACGTGTTGGTGGTGGGAATTACCGGGGTTTCCGCGGCTCGTACTTGTTGAGCTTGTTGCCGATTAGGGCAATTTCGTGATATGTGACCCTGTTGACCACATCGGAAGCAAAGACCCTGGCGCCGCGCTTGATCTAAATCCATCGGTTGTCCCCTTCCTCCGAATGTGACACCTGTTCCGTCGCGCCGCGTTTGAACTGGCGCGGTAGCAGTTGCTGGTGCGGGTGCATTCGTTTGCGCTCGCGGTGGGTTTTGCGCCTGCTGAGATCTTGGTTGAAACTGTCCCTGTCGTTGGGACTGAGGGTTTCTTCGGCGATACTGTTGCTGATTCAGGTCGATGCGCGCGACCCGTTTCTTGTAGAGTGCATATGTGGCGGGAAGTTCTTCCGATGAATTGTACAGAAGCCGAATGATGTTAGCCCGGAGTGCTTTTTCTAGAAGCGATTTGAGTTCCTGGAAATGCGCTTCGAAGTCGTGAATATTCGCCTGGAAAGCGCACAATTCGAACTTCGAAAAGAACTCTTGTGCCGATAGCGTCCCCATCTGCATTGCTTGCAAACGGTCGTAGGCTTCGGCCTGCTCGTCGATTAGAAAATGTACATCCAGATCCGCCCATAGTTCCGCCGTGGTCTGGATCACCGTGTTTTCATCGGTGTCGTATTTTTTCATGTATGTGGCGACATATTCGCCAGCATGACCTCCTTTCATGTAGGACAAGATCATTAAGACCCTGTCGAATTGCTCAGGCAGTCGCTTCCTTTGCGTTACTACATAAAGCTTCATCTGTGTCTTCCAAGCGATATACTTGGACTTCGTGCCATCGAAGGCATCGGGCTTCATCGCGCTACCATTTATGAGCGCGGCATTGTCTTGGTTCTTGGCCATTGCGCCAGGGTCAGATGGGGATGAAGGTGGGGTGGGAGAGCGTCGGGAAGGTGGGTTTGAAGCTTCGGAATCTTCTACTGCTTCTTCCACGGGGTCTGGAGGGCCCTCTGGTGGTGCTTCGGATTCTCCGAGAGCGATTGAACGGAGATGATCAGTGACTGATTCAAGAGTATCTCTTCTGGTTCTGGGTTCTGAACCAGATGCTGTGGGTTGTGGTACTGCGATAGATTCTGAGGGTGCTCCTGTGCTAACCCTCGATAGTGGCTCTCCGCGTAGTCCTTCTCTACACCGAGGGCAACGATTACTATTATCCGGAAAATGCGGGCAAGGTTGTTGCGCGCAGTACCGTAAGTCGTTACCGCGGAGGTAGACGGATCTCCCTTCTAGCTCTCGATGTGTATGTCCTCTACAATAGCAGGACGGCGTGGTCATAGGGTGTCGGGTCCGTGGAGCCAGTTGCAGCAAGCCCTGGGACTAATCGTGTTGTAATGACCAGATCAGGGGTAGAGTTCGCCAAAGATAGGATTTTTCCGAAAAGAATCGAAACACTATTCTTAATACAGTTCTAGGAATAGTATAGCAGCCCAAAGAGCGATTGTGTCTCTTCGGTCCGACGCCCTGACAGAGATCGTCGATCTAACTGCTATCTCTTTTCCGACACCCAGCCTCAGCCGGTTGCCACGTCGTACTCAGGAATATCTGCTTGCACTGCGCAAAGCGTTTAACACCACCTATGGTAGGGCGGTGTACGATTCTAATTGGACGGAGCTCTGTCCAGCCGCCTAAGGGCTGGTGATTACAGAGGTGGCTTCGGGGTGTGTGATGTGGTAAAAGACGCGCAAGTGCACGGAGAAAGGTTCCAGGGGTCCGGGTCTTGATGCGATAGAATTCGGTAGGGTTAGGAGCTAGGGTGAGAGTTGGATGTGCGTATAGGGTGGATCGTCGTGTGAAGATGTGTGATGGTTGGAGTGGGAGTGGCGAGGATCGTCGTAGGGCAGTTGGTGGAGACTCGAGCTAATGTCAGCAACTAACAATCCAACTGGACTGAGCTACGACAGTGCTGAGGAGACAGACGAGAGGAATGTGAGTGAGGAAAGACCAGCTCGAGTCTGGCTTGTTATTGAGCAGTACAGGCTCCTTATATACATGTCAGACTGAATACCTAGAATATCCTACGAATATACGGAGGTGTATAGAAAGTGAAAGAATACCATGGAATCCGGGAGAACCATCCGGATTGTGTAATATTCATGACACTATGGCTGTGTGGTACTAGCCCCGTTTCCTAATTTGCCGAGGTAATACATAGCTGAAAGGCCGGATTTTGATGCAGGTTGACGTGCGCCGACTCGCACCAAGCAGCGGCTTTGTCAGTGCGCCTCGTACGCATTGTTACGATGTTCGGCGTCGTACACCGACAATGAACGCGTTCCCGTCGCTCGACACGCGGGCAGATCACTTGACAAATGCTCAGCCTTGACCTGTAGCACTCAGAACAACTTGACTTTCCCAAGTCGAGGTTCATTGCTAAGCTTTTGTTAGCTGACGCAGCGCACTCGCAGGGGTGACGGCCCCCGACATCGGTCATCCCTGCTCCAGGATGAGCGCTGCGCGGCCGATGAGTGGTTGCGCTCAACAGCGTTGCAGCTGTATCGTCATCCAGCTGTCCACACGCTTGTTTTAATGTCAATCTGCAGTGGTCAGCGCCGCGATGCTTACGTGACTGAGCGGACCAGCAAGTTCTTGATCTCTTCGGGGGCCTTGGCGAGCCACAATGCTGGTGGGTATATCCAGATCTCTGAGATGTATTTAAGGAGACGTCGGCCCCATGCAGAGATTCCAGCAGCTCCCCCGAAGTCTACAGTGCTCTGCTGTCCACGTCTCTCTCGCCTCTTGTGCACCAACCATGTCTCACGGCAAACAGTTCACTCTTTTCTCTCACAAGAGAGGCCCGAACGGATGGTACGCATTCTCGTCTCAAGACTTAAGGTGATATGGTCCCGCTGATCGTGTTTTGCATTATTATAGGAAGGTCGCCTTGGTCCTTGAGGAACTTGGCTTGACCTACGAGTCGGTATATCTCGACTTCCAGAAGAGCGAACAGAAGGCTCCCGAGTTCATCAAGTACAACCCGAACGGGCGTATCCCTGCGCTGATTGACCACAGCAACAGTGACTTCATCGTCTGGTGGATCCCCTTAATCCCCTCACGCATGTCGGCTCGCTGATTTGCGCGCCACAGGGAGTCCAATGCTATTATCCAGTACATTGTCGACAAGTACGATAAGGGGCACAAGCTGTCGATCGCGCCTGGCACTGACGAGTACTACATTCAGCTCCAATGGCTCTATTTCCAAGCATCTGGCCAAGGCCCATACTTCGGCCAGGCCGGCTGGTTCACGTTCTACCACCCGGAGAAGGTCCCGAGCGCGATAGAGCGGTACAAGAACGAGATTAAGCGTGTTTTTGGTGTCCTGGAGAGCGTGCTGTCGACGCGGGAGTGGCTCGTCGACAGCAGACTAACCGTCGCAGACCTTTCCCTTGTACCGTAAGTATAATTGATTGAGCTGATGAGACGCTGGTTGCTTATGGGTTATATTCGCAGGTGGAATCACCTCACTACTCCGCATCTCGAGGATGTTGACTTTGAGAAGGAGTTCCCAGCCACCGCCAAATGGCACAACAAGCTCCTCAAGCGCCCAGCCGTCGAAAAGGTCTGGGCGGAGCGCACCAGGCTGCTCGCCCAGCCGTGAACCAGGAGCAGGATTGTGTTTCTCGGGACTGTGGTACACTAATCCGTCCAATGAAATCTATATACATATGTTTATGCTCATTTCTATGTGATACCAATACAACTAGGTGCCATCAGAGACCGTGCCATCGATTGTACAGCCAGCCCTGAAGATTATGGAGGTTTTCCGCTCTCTTGTCTGCCCAGCTGCTGCGCGGGACGGAGCAGGGGCTGCTGGCGCTGAGGGGCCTATGGGTCTCGCGTACGAGACTGCAGCGCTCTCGCGCTCGAGTCCTACGATGCGCGAGCTCCAACCTATGTCGGCGGAACACGCGCGCGTGTGGGTACGCTTTGTCAGAACTGGGCGATTACGTTATTGCCCTGTACGGACTAATGGGGATACATCACATGACCCCCGATTATGTTGTAGTAATACGGACTAGATTACTCATGCTTACTGTACACGCTTACATACAGGTAGTACCATAGGTCCCTTAGCGGTATCAGGAGTCCTGACTCTCATGTATATATACTGGCCTTGTAGCACAGAATACGATAAGAGTTCAGTCGCACTTTAACAGGTTATGAGCCCCGGCCTCACGGCCACTCTACCCCCACTCTACTAGTCTCATTGCTGAAGAAGACCCCTCGGGAAACCTCGGTCCTATTCACCCAGTTTAAACAAAGTTTATCCACGCAGTTTACGAGTAAGTCTCGTTGCGTGCTAGTGGCAGACGGAGCGCTCACGCGTTCATTCCTGCGTAATTTCTAGTGCCAAAGGATTTGCCCGCTCGTCCCCCTCACTCCGTTTTCCAGCGGTACAAGCACTCCGCCGGCTACGCGCCCGCCTCAGGCAACGCCAACGACCCCGTCGAGACCGTCCCGTACAGTAAACGCCGCGGCAAAGAACTACGCCCGCCGACTCCAGCGCTCACTCTCCCGTTCCCTCCGAACTCACACGAGGGTAGGCGCCTACGTCGCGAACAGTTCCGCGAGCGCTACGCAACCGACAAGGCCGACTTCGAGCAGCGTCTAGCTGCACGCGAAATCCAACAGGCGCGCGAACGGATCCTCGCCGGTCCGTCAAAGCCGACACTCGAGCAGCGTCTCGCTGCCATCCCACCGGCGACACATACGCCGATCGCCCCGAAGCCGATACTCATCGACTTCGACAAGCACACTCCCGCAGACCTCGTCCGCATCTTCACACCGAAGTTCGACGGCACGCTCAAACGCCTCGACGTCTTTGAGACTCTCGAGCTCGACGACCTCAACTCCGATCGAGTCCGCAATCTCCGCCGACTCATCGAGCAGCTCACGCGCATCAAGCGCTGCCTAGCGGACGTCTGTAACGTCATCAAATACGAGGAGTGGCGCAAGTGGGAATTAGGGTGCAAGGAAATAGGGGATATCTCGTTCAAAGGGCTACGCAAGAACAAAGCCCGGATTGTACAAGCGCTTAGCGCAGTTTACGTGAACGGATATTTTGACGCAGTTAGGTTTTACGAGAACAAGTAGATACTTTGTATACAACACTATTGTAACAATCAGAAAGAAGTTCTACTCGGAAACCTGACTACTGTGTGTTTATCCTAAGCGACAACAAGTGTCGTAGTTTAACTGGTCCCTTCGTCCAATCCCAACTCTATCCACCTCTCGGCTAAATCGGCTTAGCTGGGATAAGTGGCTCGCTCAACAGCGTTCACAATCACTACCTCTCAGGAGACAAATACGGTACCTGAAACCGTAGAGACAAAACAGGAAACCGTCGCAGAATTCAGACAGCGACTGAATATAGTAGACGACATAGAGACAGACTGGGAAGCATTCACAGCACACGAACAATATGTCGAAGTGTTGCTAACCCCGTTCTACTTCCACAAACACGTCCAAGAACCGCCAAGCTATAACGCTACAGCAGAGTTAACAAACCACGACGAAGACGTAATCCATTTCTTCTTCCCCACAAGCTCCGACACATATTCGGAACCATACGCTTGTTACCTCGACCAGGAAGATATTGGAGAAGATCTATATTATAGACCGATCAATCAGACATACGATCTCGCATTCTTGGAAGAAGATTGGGAATCACTTCGAGCGACACGAGCCAAATCATACGAGCTCGATCTCAGTGACTTCTTTTACGACGTCGGTTTAACTCTAAAGGAACGTGAAACACTCTACGCATACGCTCGCCTCCTCTACGTACACGATAACAATGTCATCCTCTTCTGACCTGACCAAGCTCGCCACATCCACCATCCCGCAATTCGACGGCACCAACTATAAAAAGTGGTCCGACGCGATCCGAGCCTTCCTGCGCTACCAGGGCGTCTGGTACTTGATCCAGGGATACGGCTCCACAGCGACCGTTCCTGTCCCTGGTCTTGCCAGACCAATAGCTGCGACAGGTACACCCACGGCCACGGAAATCCTAGCTCAAGCTGCATGGGATGAGAAAAATGACAAGGCGCTGGGCATCATCCAGCTCTACGTCGCGCAGAACCTTCGTCATCTCGTCGATGACAAGTTCTTGGCCCTAGACGCATGGACCGCGATCAAGGCCGGCTACGAGAAACCCGGAGCGGTAGGCGCATTCGTCGCCTTCCAGAAGCTGTTCAATGCACAGCTCTCTGACAGCTCCGCACTCGGCCCGCAACTCGACGCGCTCACAGAGCAGTCCAACCAGGTCAACGCGGCGGGAATAGAAGTCAAACCTCAGCTTCTTGCCTTGCTCATGATCAACGCTCTCCCCAAGTCGTACCAGACCATTGCTGGTACAATTCTCACAACGCAGACTGATGTTACGCTGCTCACAGCGGCGCTCATCAAGCCCAAGATCGTCGAGGAGGAACAGCGCCGCGTCGCGAATCGCACTCAAATTGCGCGCGTCTCGAAGGCGCCACTCCTCGACAAGAAATGTGAGAAGTGTGGTCGCAAGAATCACACGACGGAGCAACACTGGGACACAAAGCCGGCGAATTCTGGCTCGAGTTCCGGTAACGGCAACAACACGCAGCAGCAGCAGCAGGGTGGCGGAAAGCGCAAAAAGGGAAAGGGAAAGGGCAAAGCGAAGGACAATACCGCGACGACCACACAGACTGTAAATACCATACGAATAGTCGATGTACCTGTAGTAGCTAAGATCGAAGAGGAATCCATCTCTGTTTCTCTTTATGCTACGGGTGTCAAGTCTAAGTGGATGGTCGACAGCGGTTGCACAACACATGTCACACCGTATAAAACTGACTTTATTCGGTACCATGAATTCCCTAAGCCAGGTCATGCACACACGGCCGGTAAAGGTCAGACTATCGAAATCAAAGGTCACGGTGAAATCGCTCTGCAACATCGTCTCACAGATGGACGAATTCAGCATATCCGGTTAGAAACCGTATTATACGTACCGGAAGCCGCAGAACGGTTCTTTGCGCCCAGAATGCCTCTCAATAACGGTCACCGTATTGAGATGGATGGCAAGAAGTTTAAGTTACTCCGCGGGTCAGACCCAACAAAGCGGA